GATTTCAGTGGGTGTCCCCTTAGTTTTAGTATTTTGGGACTTGGTTAATGACAGTTGCCTATTCACTTTGTCCACACCCTTCATGATTTTATTCCCCTTCAGCCTTCTCCTTTCCATACTGAAGAGTCCTAGCCTTTTCAGTCTGTTCTGGTATAGCAACTGCTCCATACCTGTGATCATCTTGGCTGTCCTTTTCTAATTCTACTGCAACCCTTTTTGAGATGCAGAAATCTATTTATTGATGTGCAAGGTCCTTTGCTTGAACAAAAAAGGGGGCTTCCTTTAAATTAGAGTCCTCTATCTTCAAGAACAAAATAAAACTATAGAAGGGGAATGACAACATTGTGTTTTTCATATGAGCATGTACACATTGTCAGCAATATCAATACACTTCAAAATCTAGGTTGTGAAACTCCAAAAAAAAAAAAAAGACTACAGCTTGGTTGCTAGCTCCTGGGCTATCCCAAGGCTTATCAGATGGGCAGCTCTCAACCCTGTCCTAGAGCAAGAAGTCCTGTGCTACAGTGTCAGGAGAGATGAAAGGAGGTGAAAACCCTAGCGATCACTCTGTCTCCAGTGTTTGCAGATATTCCTATTTCAAATAGTTAAGTCACTTGGTGACTGGTGATTTTTAGGATTGAGTAGAGAGGGCAAACACTTTAGTTATAATGCCGTCGTTCTTTGGTGCGTGATATGAGGTTAACTATACAAGTAGTGGATCTTATTGGCTTGGCAGCACATACTTCACAGTACAGTGCCACTTTTGCATTGAATTGTGTACCCTACAGCCATATCCCTTGTAATCCACACCTCCCTAATCAGTAATCACATACTTGAGGCAGGAGTGAATTCTTTTTTACAGGGTCACCTCATGCAGTTCTTTGCCACAGTTAATTGTTCGCCATTAACTTTGGAAATGCTCATCCTTGAAATTGAGGTTTGAGATTTGGATAGGGCAGAACTTGTTTATAGGCTAATGTCTCCCCATTGTGATGTTGGCACCATGAAGAAATATAAAGTGCCATCCTCAGACTGACAGTTTCAAGGGGCTAATGGAAAGACAGGACTGTAGTGTCATACTCTTC